CTGGGGAAAGAACAGAGTAAAGACTACAGAACTTGGCACCTGTGAAATACTACTGAAGTTAGTAGAAGATGTATTTCAGTCTGGAGAGTAAGAAGTAACTGTAGGTTCCTGTTCCTGCACGCTTCCATACTAGTTTTTTTTAATGACAACCTGGCAGCTATAGTTACTGTATTGTGATTGTGTCCTCTGGCATGATCTAAACTAATCCTTTCCTGTTTCCTCTTGTGTCTGCTGTTTTCAGCTGAGTGAAGTTGTGATTGCATTTTTCTTGCAATGAGTGTGGTCCTCAGTTAGTGGAGTGTGGGCTAACCTTTTCATCCAGCTTCCCATTCAGGAACATGCAGATGAATAGCTTTACAATAAAGTAGTTGCATTTTGTTTTGTCACATCCTCCTCTGCTGAGGTGAGTTCGCAGCAGAGCTAACGTTGTTCTCTTCCTTCAGTTATGATAGGACCTGTGACTGATCTGGGATATCAGTAAAGCAGCGAAGCTCTGACAACACAATGGGATTTCCATGAGTGAACCGAACTCCTCTGAGCTGTCCAGAAAAGGGGCATCCATCCATGCCCAAGGCTTGCAGCAGCTTGGTGAAAAATTTGGCTAGCTGTCACCTCTGGGACAGCAGATATAAACGGGACCCAAACTTCAGAATAATTTTCAGCAGCTGTGGTGGCAGAAAAGGTAGCGTTGCTTGAGTGAAAGAGGTGACCAAAGGAAAGCAGAGGAATACCAAGCAGCCTTCCTCAGGAACTGGAGGAATCAAAGGAAATATGAACCTCTGTGAGAGGAAAAAAAGTAAAGAATGCATAGGAGAGATGTTGAAATAGAGAGAGAAAGCAGAATGGATCTTCCTGAGAGGGATGCGGAAAGAAACATAAAGCCATTAATCAGTGACTAAGACTTAGATGACAGCTGGTTAGGCATTTGCAAAAGAGAACTATGATGATCTAGAAATACACTTGATGTGTGAAAAGCACAGAAGAGGAGGTATTAATTATGGGATTTCCTCAGAGGCAGGGGGAAGGAATGATAATCAGCAACAGTAAAATTCAGACCTACTGTAAGAATAATCTTTTTGACTGAGATAAATGAATGAAGCATCTCAAGGAAAGTAACAGCTGACCAGTTGCTAAGGACTGTTGAAACTGTCTTGAATTACAGTAGATAGGGCCTTCTTCAGCTCCAGCCTGCACTATCCAGAAGAGTATCTGGGTGCCTATTCCATTTTTAGTTTTTATTTCTGTATGAATTCAGTTTAGATCTTAGCTAAAACAGTTACATAACACTTCTGAACTGTAGATGGCTAATGATAACTTGAAAGAGCCCCCCACTTACAGTCATCTCTGATGTCAATTCTGAGTTGTATGCCTTTTGCAAGAAAGAAGATGTATGTAAACATAAATACAATGTCAATAAGCAGTAAGAAAAAAAGATGAAAAATAAATACATACACTTCAGTCACTTGGGATTTTTTTACAGAATTTAGTCAGGAACTCACCACATTAAAAATCTTCATAGATTTGTATTGTCCTTCATGATGTCTATGGCTATAATGAGTGTATTTGCTGCTATAATCTTCAAAATTGAGTTAGTCGTTTATCTAGGCAATAAATTAAATGGTAAGTTAAATTAGAGAAAATTCTTTAAATAGGAAACATATGGTTTTTATTGTTATTTGAGTGCAAATTTCTGAATTAGGATTTAGATGCTTTCATAGAGACTACAAATATTTTCCGTTCATCAAACTATGCTCTGACCATACAGTAGACCACTGCTTGGCTTTCTCTTGCACCTAGATCTTGATACCTTGTAAATCAGTCCTTCATCTGAGTCTTACAGCATGGCTGAAAATTGCACAAGAACAGTCTTATCTGTATAGCTTCAGCTCTTCAAGCTGCCAACCTGGCTAGGAACTAGAATCTGAATGCTTCACTAAGTTGTGCTACTAGTAACAGTGGTAGACACTATGCAGCTCTTCTTATCTGGACTCAGTTTGGTGTTCCCACATTAATCTGTTGAAACTTTACATAAAACAGGCAAAACAACTACTACCTCTTCCCACATAGAGGTATGCGAAATGACTTCTTACTGTATCTGGCTTGATATCTGATCAAATATTATACAGTACCAATACACCCAATAATTAAGTCGGTGTTTTTCAGCTGCAGGGTGAAAAGTTACCTGGTTCCTTTTTCACTTTCTTTTGAACTCAATTTAAGGACAATTCCTAGCAGTCAGAGTGCTGTGCTAAACAACACCCTTCCAAAAGAAGAAATGGGTGGTCAAGACAAGAACTAGTTTTAAAACAGAGCCGTGTCCTTCTATGAAAGCATTCATTACATGCATTTTTTCCATGTAAGGGCATACGATTTCTGCTGATAGCGGAGAAAGAGATGTGATGAGCTTGGAGACCCTTTTCAAATCTGTGTTCTCAAAAAAGACTCTGACTCTCACTCGCCTGCTTGCTCTCTCTCTCTCTCTCTATCCCCCTCTCTTTCTCATTTTGGGAAGGGACAACATAAGGAAAGGGTACTTTATAAGATTATACTTTTTCAAATAATGCAATTTAAAGTTTGCTTTCTAAATATTTATCTCATCTCTGAAAGTACTTGGAAAATCAAAGGAAGTGCTGGGATGCTTTGCTTGGATTGAAAAAATTCAAAAAGTCTTTATTCTTAGAAACAAAAGGTATATCTGCAGTCCTGCTGTCAACTTGTGATCAGTACTTCTTGCGGTAGAGTTCAGTGGAACCACACATATGCTGTAAAAGAAAAACGAGTAATGTAAGTAATACCTGCTGTGTTTAAAGTTGCATTTCACCCCATATTATATGTTGTCTGGGATGGCAGGCCAGAGGACAAGAGGTATTATTCTTTGCACTCCTTGAACAGCCATCACAGCAAGTTTAATCTTCATTATTTATGGAAGAGAAAGGAAAGATAGTTTTGCTCTGTGAAAATCCAGTGCTTCCAAGGAGTAAACTTGTAGAGCCCAAGTAAAGTTAGTGGAGTCTGGCGATCTGACCTCTTGCATCTGTGGAGCTACAGTTTGTTTACTGGAGGCACCTCTTGCAGCTGTTTAGGATATGGGTCCCCTTTTTATAGTGTGGTTGTCCACTTGTGACGTGGGTTATGATCAGCCAGTCATTTATTACAAATTTCCTCTTTGTCTTTGAGTGAAGCGTGCAAGCGTTGAACTGTTCCTCAGTGTTTGTCCACGTTGTCTGGCTGTCCGTTGGCACCGGTTCGACACTGTGCAATCTCTTCTGCAGTGCAACACAGACACACAAGAGCCACATGCCAAATTTTGTGGTGAGAATTCAGTGAGTCACGTCTGAATGGTGTTCTTGGCTTTTATTGGCAGCTAATTACCTCCAAAGTCGAAGCTAACAACCGAAGCTCAACTGGTTCTTTTTAATAAGGCTGTACTAACAAATGAGTCTATGTTTTCAAGTTGGCCTCTGAATTCTTACACCTTTCCTTGCTCTGCTGCATGTTGTCAGTAGAATTTCAGAGTCTGTGGATGCTGAACTAAGATTATTTGACCTCAACAGATATACATCTATACCTAATAATAAGACTGAATTCTCCCTAGCCCAGTCTTATAATTTAAATACCATGCAAGTATAGCATAATTTCTTATTATTAATCAGAACTTTTAAAAAAATTGGTTCAAATTAAATGTTGCCCAAGCTGAGTATAACACGTAAGGATTAGTTCCTGTTACCCAGGCTGTTTTTTCTGTGAAGCATGTGAAATGCTTTTTGGAAATCTATGGTTGGGCATGGGCAAGAATCACCATGCCCAGCTGACTCTGGAGCTTGTCTTGGAGAACTGCCAGCGCGGCGATGTCTCAGGTGGATGCAGAAGAATCCGTCCAGCTTTCCTCTGGGCTATACAAAGAAAACAACAGGATCAGACTTCCTAATGTTACTTCTGGTGCCTTCACCCAACACAGTCTGGAGCAGCTGGAGCCCCCCAAAGACTGAAGAAAATACCTTCATCCCTGTGAAGCTGTGTGTGTGCATCTGGGTCACAGCTAAGGTAGAGGGTTGGAGTGGAAAGAAGGCTTGGTCACTCTGGGTGGACAGTGCAGGTACAAGGTGATAAGCAAGTTGCAAGGGGATGGTGCATACATAGGGCAGATGAAATCTTCTTGGCTGTAAGCTGTTACCCTTTTGCAGGCCTGCGCTCTGCTTGTAGGAACATCAGTCTTTCGGATCTCAGAATTTGCATCTGGTTAAATGCAAGCACGTTTTTCATGTCCCTGCCCCTCACATACAGGTGACCGATCACCCACCCCACCCCACCCCCCAAATTTGAAGGGCTGAATTCAAAATGAAGTTGCCAGGATTTGTTATGGGGGTAAGACAATAACTATTTCCTTAACTTCTTGAGAAATGGCCAAGATTTTCTGCCTAAATTTAGAAGAACAAAAAGCAGCCTAGGGTAGACCCACATCATGGAAACTTGAGCCCAAGCAGTTAATATTGGGCTAAAATTATAAGCAACTGAAAACAGTGTCATTTTATGCATAATGACCGTACATAATACCATTACATAATCAACAATATCAGGCAGGCTGATTGACAGGTAGCGCTAACAACACTATTATAGCTGAGGTATGTTATACTTATTGCTGCATTTGCTGAACACTACGGGTCTTTTTTATAGTAACGTCTTTCTTAATGTTCCTTCATTTTGGAGATGAAAGGCATAGGTGTGGCAAAGTTACTGCGGCAGCTGCAGACATGCCTTGACTGCAGAAGTACAGGTCATTATATTTCTCATGAATATTAGTCATAGAAGGGAAAAGAAAAATATACTTTGCAATAATCCCTAAAGCACCTATTTCCATTTGGTACTACAGAAGAGAAATTAACTTCAAATAGAAAGAGAATTTTGTGCACATTGTTCTGTCTTATTTCAAAACGCTTGAAAAGATGATTTCGTCTATTCCTCTTTGAATTTTCAGTATCTCTTCCTGCATTTAGTAGACGATGACCTTCTTGAGACAGGTGACGAGTTAGTAGAAACTGAAAAATACTACATACAATTCCTGGCAATTTTAGCAGCATCATAGAAATGAAAAACTATTTCCCCGTATTTTAAAACCGACATGAATCTTTCTGAGCTAGGCCTACAATTCCTTGGCAATCTATCATATATTTAGATACATTTATTACTAAGGCAGTTTATTGTTGACATAGACTAGGGTAGAGATTAGAAAGGCAACACAGAATATACTTCAGACATGTATTGATGTCTACCTGTGTAAAATAACTAGTAGCTTCAGTAACTTCAGCATCCACGAGCAACCTATTGCATATCTTCAGAATTCTTTTCTATAAAATATGTTAGGGCTGACTTATCCCTGCCATAATGTCAGATAGTTTGATGGGAAAAGGAAGGGGAGAAGAAATGAGGCGACTGGAAGTGTTTCATCAAAGTGCTAAGGAGATATCTCTAGTTTAAGGTCATTAGAGCTGTTCCTGTATGCAGCGAAGCGCAGTGCATCAGGGAGTCTCCAAAGTCTTCGGATGGAAATAAAGACATAGACCCAGTTCCTGTGTTGGGACTGCTCAGGGCACAGACCTGAGACTGTCACAAGGCACATTTGCGGGCTGTGATTTATGCCCGAAGTCAGTCCCAAGGGATTATTCAGGACCATGTTGAAGTTGCTTTAACTCATACTAGTTGCCAATAATCTAATTTTGATAAATCTGGATACGTCCCCAACATGCATATAAGAAATATACAATCACGTCTCTGTAATAATTCTTCTAAACCCAGAGCGGGGCCTCCTAGGACAATTCTGAGAGCAGGGTTTTTCCCTAAGCCATGGCAGCTCTCCAGCATTTTGCCTTGAATGTCATGTCTCTGCAAAGATTTCCTGATTTGTTGTCTTTCACCATACTGCCTCACATTCAATATTACCCTGTAGGTGGGAGGAAACACGGCAAGTACCAATTTTTTACTTTTAGCCCTCTAGTTTTTATGCCATAGAAGAGTGCGTGCTCTTGAAATGCTCCTCAGAAACATAAGCACACCCTGGGAGAACACCCACTAGACTGGTTGGGGGATTTCCAGCTGCTAAGATAGTAAGCAAAATAAGTTCTGCAAACTTTCTAGAACCAGCAAAGTGTTATTGCTGTATGCTCACGTTTTCCGTGTGCAATTTTAATCTGTCATTTTCTAGTTCTTAGAAACGTGCGTACACAGAAGTTGGTGTCAATTAAAGAACAGAAGTAAACAGATTCTATAGGACCGCTTTTCATTCACTTTTTTAAGAATCAGCTCTGCCCATCTTGAGTTTTCACGCTGCCAGGTTTTCACCTAAAAGCTGTGCAGCATTTTAGTGGAACATAAGTATAGAAAGATAAGACCACAACATGCAAAAATAAACACCAAGATGCGTCATGTGCAATAAGAACTCCATTATGCGTGCTTCAGAAAAATACAGATTTCCTGAAATAAAAACAAATACATTTCTAGAAAAACGATGATTTTGAAAGTCTGAATGGCAGGATGTATTTGCAGTACAGGCGACATTAAAATATTTCACCTTTTCAACCTCTAGGGGGGACTATGTTTTCAGCAAACCTGTCTGTGAAGAATTTTCTTAATCTACAGCAGGCAGTTCAGGCTGTTAATGCTAGTTGGAGCGAGCCAAGTGATTCTTGATTTGTGCACGTGTTATTTCGGAGGGGAAAAAATCCTATGTCTGTAGTGACCTTAGCCCTTAAGGGTCAGTCTGAGATCTTTGCTCTTGCTGCAGTGCACGGACAGTCTGCCTGCTACCGATTCAGCACTGCAGGATTTGCTCCTATGAAAAAGCATTAATGTAGCTGGAAAAAAAAAAAAGTCTGTGGAGAAATGTTGGATTTAAAAGTCTGTGGAGAAATGTTGGATTTATAGCTACGGAAAATCCTGGAACTGAACTAATGATGGGTTGGATTAAGAGATATTTTGAACTGGGATTAAAAGTCCACTTTCATACATAATTTTTTGGCTCAGAAAAATAAATGAATCACAGGCTGGAGTTACTCTTTATAAAATGTCTTTAAGGTGAAGAATTTCTTGATGCTTCGGGGCCTGCAGAGGCATGGTTACTTCCGTAAGGTTGAATGCAATTGCTCATGCAAGTAAGGACCGCATACCGTGGGCCAAATCCTTTTCTAGAAGCATCAAAACTGGTCTTTACCCTTTACTGCTAAATAATACTGGCTCTATGCCCTTTTCCCACATGCTGGCGCCCTGCTTCTCCCACTCTTATTCAGTCCCCGCAGTACTTCACCTCACAAGGAGCAGCCAGTGTGAAGGATGGCAGCCCTGTGATTTATACGCTTACTATCTCTGCCTTCGTGTTTACACAGCTTACACTCAAATAAGACAGCTAGGACAGTATGGAGCTCACACGTAAAATGGAAAAGATATTCTGGTGGGGGAAGGAGGGAATCAAAAGAGATGTTTCCAGATTTCAATGTTGTAAACACATCTGTAGGGTCACCATAAAGCAGTAACTACAAAGGTCAGCATTTCAAAATGTGTCTTAAGAAAATGTTTTTGCAAGCTCTGTGGTGAAGATGGCTGGAGTGTTGTATATTGTAACATTCTGCTTAATCTCGACTATGTTATATGTAGTCATTTACAACAAAAAATGCCTGACATAACTTACAGTACAGGAACATACAAAATGAGCTTCACCAGGGTGGATGTTTATGTGATCTTCAAGAACGCTCTGAAGTTCAATTCAGTAACCAAATAAAAGTACTTTAGAGGCACATTTCTTAGAGAAGCTAGCCATCTATGAATTTCTGAGCTTTATTATTTTATTGAGCTGTATTAGATAAATGATTCCCCCCAAAAGATTTTTTTTTTTTGATGATTACTTTTGTACAGAGTATTATCCGGTGTTTTCATTCCACTTCACAGTTGTAATTGCAGATGCACTTCCCAGCTTTCTTTTCTTTTCAATCAAGAAATCGCAAAGCTGAGTGGACGGGTCACCCCGGGAGCCCAGGTTTCCCGTTCAGAGGTTGAATGGTGAAGGCAGCAACAAACCTGAGTTTACACATAACTGCCCTGACAACGACCTTGGCGCTGAACGAAACAAACCCTATCTGTAAAGCAAGGAGCAGTTCACTCACCTTACTAATTCAAACCTGGGACTTTCTGAGTAAGCACAGAACGTGCCGCCGTGCCGCCCTGCCCGGGTTTGAGGGTGCGGACCATTATGGGACACAGAGACATCCACTGAGAGACGTGCCTTAGGATTTCACTGTCAAAAAACATCGGAGATCCCAAAGCCTCTTTCACAAAATATTCCGCGTGTTTCATGCTGGCATTGTTCCTTATTCCAAAAAACGGGTGTCTGTTTTAAATGGATAACACCGAAATCTTAAGCATAGTAGCTTTACAACTGCTAAATAGAGCAGATCAGGGATGCAGTTAACACGCTGCTGTTGGGCAGCCTTGCCAGGACAATTTCAAAAGTTATTTTCCTTTTTCTTTTTTTTTTTTTTCTCCCCCCCC